ATATTAAAATGTTAAGATAGAGATAAAATAAGATAAGATAAGATAAGTAAGATAAGATAAGATAAGATAAGATAAAAGATACTTAGATAATAAGGTATCTAAGATAATATAAGATTATCTAAGATAAGAGAGCCAGTTTGGTCTAGTGCTTAAGGCACCAGGCTAGAAAGCAGGAGACTGTGAGTTCTAGTCCCACCTTAGGTATGAAAGCCGGCTGGGTGACTTTGGGCCAGTCACTCTCTCTCAGCCCCGCTCACCTCACAGGGTTGTTGTGGAGAAAATAGGTGGAGGAAGAAGTATTAGGTACTGTATGTTTGCTGTCTTGAGTTATTTATAAAAATAATAAAGGTGGGATAAAAAATTTTTTTTTAATCTAATCTAAGATATGGAAAAATTCTAAGATGACTTCTAATGTAAAAAGACCCAAAGTGTCAAGAAAAAGAACAAGGTAACTTTTATTTCTCATTTAAAATAAGAATTTGGCTGTCATTTAAAGGTGCATATATATAATTATATGTTTCAGATTCCTATACAAAGTCATTGCTTCATACCTTCAAACATTCCCTTTCCTGAATCTTAAATTTGGTATACAGTAGCAGGGAATGTTATGTGTTTTGCTTTCCATGAGGCTATAAGGACATACCTACTTTTCCTTGTTTCCAAAATATAAAAATAGTTATGAAATCTAGCAATTTGGACTAATAATAGAAAACCAAAACCTGTTTTCAGGCATAATCAACTTTCCATCACCTGAGAAGAAAAAATCTGTGTTTGTACAACACACTAAACTAATATTTGGTTGGCTAGTTTGTAATGAAACGTGAAGTGCAAATCCAAGTAGAATAGTCAGATTATGATTATATTATGCAAATCAATATAGTTGGGTTAATTTATTAAACCATGAATAAATACTTGATACAATACAGATACTGAATATTATTGTACTCATTATCCATGTCCATTCTGCTATATTCTTTCTCCAGATCTAAAAAAGAAGGTATAAAAAACCTGAATTTTCACTATCCATGTAACTCTTCTCTGGATGATTTAAAGTCTTGTATGATCAGGCTGTTACAGATTTTATCCCCTCCCAATGCATGGAGGGTACCATAGACAGGCTGCAGATATCTATCAAGGACTATACTGTAGATATCAGTTGAGGCGAGAATACCCATCAAGAGCAGGCCTTGTGCATAATAGTTTGCAGAATTCCCCAAACTATGTGACTGCTCTTCACCAACCTTAAAGTTCTGGGCTACAAAAACCAGCCTCAGCTGAAGTATAGATAAAATGCTCCGACTTGAACAATTTTATAATGAGACGAGCATAGCTTGCTGGAAACTGCACACTGTTAAGTTCTACAGTAAAACACAAGAATCATTTTCTTGTACCTGCTGGCGTCTTTCAGGATGTGTGGTTTGAGAAGATGCTTGACAGGCTGGGGGATGCTCCTAAGGTATCCTTACCCATGAGACTGAGCACATTTCTTAGAGCCAGAGGACAGCAGTGTTTTTTGGGGTGGCATAGTTCAGGAATGGGATCCAGTATGTCAGACCTCAACCCAGGACCAGGGTCACTGAACACTCTTGGTCCAGGGCCATGCTGACTGGCATATGAAAGAGGGGTGACACTGTTGTCTTCTTTCCACTCCCTTGTCACAGGGTGAAGGTGCAATGTGAATAGGATTATAGTAATACTTTCAAATGTAGATGGATACATATATTAAAAGAAAATATGAGAAATATTTTGAGGCTTCACTACCTTGAAAGGCAATTCCCCACTAGCACCACTGATGGAAAACTGCAAAGATTTTTATACCACAGGTCATCTGAAAGATGTCTATATGCCAGGGAATCAAAATGTAAATATTAATTAAAAAGGGATACTATTTGGAATTTTAAGAAAAAAGCATTCCATAAGAACCATTCAAATGCTCGAGTAAGCCAACTTATTATTTCTATCACAGGAACTTATGATGTATGGATCTGGATTTATATTCTCTTGTCAGGAAAAAACTCATTTTATTAAAACATTTATTAAAAGATCTGTGTGAGGTCTTGATGTGATAGGCTGAATCAGTTCTAAGCACTTGACTAAACAGAAAATGCTGGAATTTTGAATTTGTGTCACAACCAAGATCAATGCTTGTTATAATTAAAGTTTGCTTTGAATTGGAGACTCTACTAGGTAAAAAAGATTATCCTACAGAATATCAATGGGATGAAATCAATGAGTTTAAAAATGTTCTTCTTTGGTAGGGCTATGGTCCCTAGGGTTAGCAAAAGGTTTGTCAAACACAAACCTTTTTAAAGTAATCTACAAAACAAAACAAAACAAGACAAGATCTATCTATCTATCTATCTATCTATCTATCTATCTATCTATCTATCT